CAAGAAGCAGGGAGGCTTAAGTAGGGGGTGGAGTCCTGGGGGGGAGTTAGGTAGGGATACCATACGTCCGTTTTTTCCCCGGACATGTCCGGCTTTTTGGTCCTTAAATCCCCGTCCGGGAGGAATTGCCAAAAAGCCGAACACGTCCAGGAAAATAGCTTTGCCGGCATCCCTGCCCCAGTCCCCTGCTTACCCTGCGGCTCCCACAGGCTGCGAGCTGCAGGCGGATTCCCCCGTGGCGGCTACTGCTGCTCCCCTCATACACCTCAGCTCGGTGTAGCTGAAGAGCCGAGCTGCCCGAGCGCTACTGGCTTCATGGTTTGCCGGGCAGACCCCAGACCTCCAGACCCTGCGCCCCTGGCCGGGCGCTTCCCCACCCGGGCTCCGGCTGCGCTGGGGAAGCGCCCGGCTGGGGGCAGGGTCTGGAGGATGCCCGGCAAACCATGAAGCCGGTAATGCTCGGGCAGCTGTTTCGCAGCTGGAAGGAAGGAGGGGGAATGCGGGGCGGTCGGGGAGGGGGCGGAGACTTTGGGGAAGGGGCGGGGAAGGGGGCGGGGCCAGGGCCCCGTGGAGTGTCCTCTTTTTTTAAATGAGGAAATATGGGAACCCTAGCTGAGAGCATCATAATTAAGGACAAACAGCAAAGTGTCTAGCTTTTATTACTAGAGAAATTCTCCGATCTCCACTTTGTTTTTCTTATCTCTATTCTGAATAAGCAAAAATCACTCCGCCCTGAGATGAACACTACACACCCTGAGCATGCTCAGTGAAAACCTAGGATTTCTAAAATGGTGCCCTGGCAAAAAGCCAAGTATAGATGTGTGTGTGGAAAGGCAGACTCACAGCTCTGAGGTGAATGAAAACAGTGAGCATGTGCAAGATTGGTGGCTATTGAGCATGTGCAGTAAGGGGTGACAGAGAGGTCAGTTAGCTGATCAGAACTTGTTTTAAAGTCAGAGCTGTCAATCCGAACTCTGAAGTAATGCTTGATACTGTGCACCTGTGAGTGAGATAATTACTTCTAAAAAGATAAAGTTATATTGGGAGGGAGCGACAAATGTAGCTACAATGTAGCACGAAAGGCCAGCTGCCAGCAGGCAGTTTAGGAGTCTGAGCCTGAGTCAGTGAGAGAGAGAGAGAGACGATCGGGAGAAGACGAAAGCCAGAAAAAGGAGCCGGAGAAAAAGCTGATGGAAAGAAGCCAGGAAAGCTGCTGCAGAGAGACAAAGAGAAAGAAGAAAATCGGAGTGGAGTAAAGTTGATTGACCACAAACTGTGCAGCAATAGGTTTTTAAAGGAATACCAAAAGGATTTATAAAGTAAACCTGTTATTGGTTTAATTAGAGTACAGGTATAGTGTAGGATGGTATATAGGGTTAGCGTGTCTGTGTGTGTGTTTATAAGAATGCATAAAATTCTATTATTAATTGCAACATATCTACTTAAACGTTAAAGCAATTTAAGAACTGCTGTCAGCAATTTGTTACAAACTGCCACCTGTAACAAATCGCTTTGCTTAGAATCATTTACATTATATATAATTGTAGTTTGAATGCTCTTTAACTTGCAATAAGGGATTGTGTCTCATGGTTTCATTTAGGATTTTAGGTTAGACTGTATTAGGGATTATTGTTTACATCAACTCAAAGATATTTTGTTTTGGAAAAGAATACTGCCTGTGTCAATTACTTTATCTGAAGGATATATCCGTGTCCTTTAATATTTCCTTAACTCCCCTTGAGACGTATATCTTGGGAAGAACAGACTAAGGGGGCAATTGGCAGACTATTATAGCAGCGTCTCAAAATCAATTTTTTGAGGTAAAAACGTTCTTTTCCCAACGTCACGCAAAGCCTTGACTTATATAGATTTCATACAGGTGAAATCAAAGGCTTTTCATAAATGGAGACTATCTCCTTAAGAATTGTTCAGCGCTTGTCAAGATGGCAAAATCGCAGAAGCGTCTTTCAAGCACAGACACACCTCCCCTATATTCAAACCTTTGCTTTAATTCAGCTGGCAACAGCTTAGGTACACTAGCAAACAGGACCTTGCTTTTCAATAGCATTGAGTGGCCAGGGAACCTAAAGTGCTTTGGTGGCATTTATTAAGCTTCACAACAGCTGGGTTAAAATGACCATTTCACAGATGTGCAGAGTGAACAGCTTTGAGGCCAACATCTTCAAAGGGAGTCCCTAAAGTTAGTCACCTAAATATCTAGCCTATTTTTCTCATGTGCTGACCACCCAGTAGCTTTCATCGGTAACTGTGTGTGCTTAGCACCTCTGAAAAATCAGGCCCCTTATACAGGTGGCCTAAAATTTCCTCAGGTGACTTATCCAAGTTCATGTGAGTCAGTACACCTGAGAATAAAACCAAAGAGTCTAATACGCAGTCTCTTCTAACCACTACCACTCAACCCCGCTGTTTAAAATTCCCAGTAGCAATTTCACAGGGTGACTGAACAACCTGACTGAACATATGCCTACAGGGTAAATTTTGAAAGGACTGAGGTTCAGTCTCTCATTTTGGTGGTACAAATTTACCCCTTCAGTTTTGTGGTCCTAAAGGATGTTGAGTAACAAATACAAGCACTTGTGTATCTAATTAATAGATATTAGGAGCAGAATGGACCATCATAATCACTAGTTTGACCTCCTGCAAAATACAAGTCATAGAACCCCAGGAATTTTTGTACAAGCACATCACTTTTTGAGCTATAAGTGTATCTTTTAGAAAGGCATTCTGTCTTCACTTAAAGACTTCAAGAGACAGGGAAACCTCTATGTCCCTAGGTAAGTTGTTTCAGTCATTAATTATACTCATTATTTAAATACTGTCTTATTTCTAGTCTGAATTTGTCCAGCTTCAGCTCTCAACTGCTGGATCTCATCACACCTTTTTCTGCTAGATTAAAGAGCTGTCCATTATAAGAACAGGGGTACTTGTGGCACCTTAGAGACTAACAAATTTATTAGAGCATAAGCTTTCTCACTTCTTTCACAACAGCCCACTTCTCCGGATGCATATAGAGTGAAACATATATTGAGGAGATATATATACACACATACAGAGAGCATGAACAGGTGGGAGTTGTCTTACCAACTCTGAGAGGCCAATTAAGTAAGAGAAAAAAAACTTTTGAAGTGATAATCAAGCTAGCCCAGTACAGACAGTTTGATAAGAAGTGTGAGAATACTTACAAGGGGAGATAGATTCAGTGTTTGTAATGGCTCAGCCATTCCCAGTCCTTATTCAAACCGGAGTTAGACTAACACGGCTGCTACTCTGAAACCGTCCATTATAAGATATCCCTTTCCCATGTAGGTACTTATAGATTGTGATCAACTCATCTCTTAACCGTCTCTTGGATAAGCTAAATATATTGAACTTCTCAAGTCTCTCCCTATATGTTTGTTCGCAAGACTGAAAGTTATTTTCAGTAACTTTTTTCTGAATCCTTGCCTATTTATCAACATCCTTTTTTAAAGACTGGACATAAGAACTGGACACAGTAGAGAGATATTACTTCCCTACTCCTACTTTATATTTCTCTGCTTATACACCCATGATCACGTTTGCCCACTTAGCTACAGCATCGTACTGGGAGCTCATGTTCAGCTGATTAGCCACCATTACCCCCCCCCAAAGTCCTTTTCAGAATCACTGCACTGCAGGACACTGTTTTGCAATTTGTAAGTGTGACCTTCATTCTTTGTTACTAGATGTATGACCTTGCATTTGGCTTTATTAAAATGCATGCTGTTCAAATAAGCACTCTGTACAAACTGATATGGTCATCTGTATAACTGATCTGAGCCCATCATTATTTACCACTATAAATTTGTCTCTTCTGCAGGCTTTATCAGCAATGATTTGATATTTTCTTTCAAATCATTGATGACAATACTGAACAACAAAGACCCAACAATTCTCTGTGGTAACCCACTAGACATACCCCATTTATAGTTACCTTTTTATCTCTAGCAGTTAACCAGTTTTTAACCCATTTAACATAGGCTACATTGATTTTGTATAGTATTACTTTTTTCAATCCGAATGCCATGCAAGACTAAGTCAATGACTTACAAAAGTCTATTATATAAAAAGTGTTACCTTTATCAAACAAAATTCTAATCTCATCAAAAATCAACATCAAGTTTGACAAGACTCATTTTACTTAAAATCATGTTGCTTTGCATCCTTTAAGTCTTTACTGACTATCCCATCTCAGTCTTTCCATGAATTTACCCAGGACTGATTTTGTGCTAACTAGTTATAATTACCCAGGTCATCCTTTTAAATATTGGCACATTGGCTGTTTTCCATCCTCTGGAACACTGAAGAAGTTCCAAAATGTGTGAAAAATGAACATCAAAAGTTCAGAGAACTCTTTGGCCAGTTCTTTTAATATTCCTGAGTGCAAGTTACCAAGTCAAAAATATTTACTAAATATTAATTTAATAGTTGGTGTTTAGTATTTCCCCTAGTGATGGAACAGAAAATATATCATCACTATAAGATATGAATACATCTTTTCCCCCTCCACCCAATTTCCTGAAGTGCTCTAGAACTGAATTCTGGGTATAAAATGTGGGTGTAATCAGAGGCCAGAAAAAGTGATAGATCTCAGAAATATAAAAAAAAGAAAAAAGTAGGCTAACAAGTAAACCTATGATTGGAAAAAAAATGTTCAAACTGTTCAGAGAAAACAAGAACAAAAGCAAAAACCAGATGAGCAAAATGTATGTTTTTAGGCTAATACTACATGTCTTTCAATCAATGTCACCCCATTTATGAAGGCACAGCAAGACCAAAAGAATCAGAAGAAAAAACAGTTTCACCTTCATCCCCAGGCATATTTATACAATTGACAACCCATCATGCACATATTCATCAGAATGAAGAGTTGAAAACAAAGATCACTCACTCATTGCTCTGTAACATAACATCCCTATAGCAATTGGTCATGTATACAATTATAACTTGCCTAATGCAAACATTTTTTCTAAATTATAAGCCTCTTATTTTTGATATTGTACAGTTTCAACTTTTACCAAACCACTAGGATCCCTATTCAGAAAGGTACTTTAAACAAGGAAGTAGTCCCCAATTGACTTTATTGAGACTAGTAATGCTTACAGTTATACACATGCTTAAGTACCTTCCTGAATCAGTGCAGGGGTATGATGAGGACACTTCAGGAAAAACGTTAACTACATTTATCTAAGAAAAAATGAAACCCCTGTAACGCTAAACTGCTTTGCGCAATTCTTGTAATCAAGCACTTACTCTATCCATCTTTTAATCTGCTTGTAGAAGAATGTCCTCTTTGAGAGCCTTAAAGCTACTGATGTTAAGATGCTGTATCAGCCAAATGCTGGTAATGACTATTAAATATTTATTGCCTTTCTAGAGAGGAGACTGGCACACATTTCTGTTCAAATATACCAATTCTGCTACAGTTAGATTAAAATTAGACTGCTATTAACAATAGGATCAAATGCTGTGAGCACTAGATCCTTGCATGACAGATTTTCAGTGCTGCGATAAAAAATGACTGCTACAACCTAGGTGAGAAGGAATATCAGGAAATGACAAATTATTTCTTGAGTTGCAGTAGTACCAGAAGCAAGATTAATGAACATTGACTTATGGCTCTTATAACAAAACGAATACTAAGGTGTTACACTTCTAATCTCTCAGTAGCAAAGTAACCCATGGTTTCTTAAAGAACAGGTAGTACTGGGAAGAGATTTGTGAGTTTCAGTTCAGATTATTTTGGAAATAATAAATACTTGAATTTGTGCGTTTCATATCTGAAACACACAAATAGAGAGCCTATCACAGAGACATTAAAAACAAAGAAGTTAACCTTGTGCAATTTATATACAACCTCATTTTTGGAATTTAAATGACACCAACTCTCCTCTGTCTGCTTTTAAAGTTATTCCTGGTTGGTGGCCACTCACCAAGAGAAAGGAACATCCTCTGCTTAAAATGTACAGGATATGTCTGATTGGATTTCTTTGCCTAGATTCCACAGAGGTGTGATTAAAAATTAAACTTTTCTATTGAATCAAATTAAACAAACTTCCATATGAATATTGCCTATCGCTATTTATATGTTCTAGAATGAGAAGCTTGGACAAAGATTAAAAGGTTTGATTAAAAAAATGATTGATTGTCTTTTAAGGCTTTAAGTTATTATAT